TATGTAGCAATTATTATCAAAAGTGTGTGGTAATTAGCGACCGTTAGTCGAAGGTTATTCAGAAATCGTGAGATGCGGTCTGGTGTGATGTAGGTTTCAGAAAAACATTTTCTTTGTCGTGCCAACGTTTCACAGAAATACACAGAAGACAAACACTTTGAGTGAGTAGAATACTTTGATTGAATATATAAAATATATTTTGCATTGTATAAATTCACTTATCCACATCCTAAATGTATTTGTTAAATTTAAACAATGTTTGTCAATCCCAGGCCCTGAAGATGATCTCAATAAAGATCGAAACGTTGGCACGATAAAGAAAATGTTTTTCTGAAACCTACATCACACCAGACAGCATCTCACGATTTCTGAATAATATTATCAAAACGTTGACAAATCTCAAAAATCCGTCGTTGAAATATTTTATTTATTTTATTAAATTTTGTTTATTTAATTATTACAGTTTTTAAACCATTTTGACGACATCCCCCTCAAAATGGGATGGCAATATATATGAAGGGTCCAGTGGAAAAATGATGAGGTTCCATTTTTTCAACATTTGAAAATCGCTAATTTAATTAAGTTTTATGAGTACTGGTGAAATAGTTTCTTTTTTGTTGTTTGATTCAATAATTATAATAACTTCACTAGTTTCGTGGTCCGCTTGACCAAGTAATATCTTACAATTAATTAAGGTTTTTAGTTGAGATAAAAAAGTTAATGGCACGAGGGGGATTCGAACCCACGATCTTCGGCTAGATACGCCCCTGCTCCTATCTACCCGAAGATCGTGGGTTCGAATCCCGCTCGTGCCATTAACTTTTTTATCTCAACTAAAAACCTTAATTAATTGTAAATTATAATAACATTTAGAGTTCTTTCTGAGTAATTCTCATGATCCAAAAACCACTAAACCCTCATTTCGAACCCAGGAACGAATAAGAAAATACCATGATTAAGAAATTTTTATTATTAATTTCAAAGATGAACAGACAAGTGAAACGAAAATTCTGAAATGATATCTATGGTCAAAATTTTAGATTAATTATTGTAAAAACAAAACTGAAAAAAGTTAAAAAGTCTAAGCTAAAAAGTTGTACGTTACTCATCGTCTACCTCATGATCAAAATAAACATCATCCTGAGTTTCTGTGGCGATTCTATCTGTGACCAAATTATTGTAAAACCTCCTGGCAACTTCGATGGTGAGAAACTTTGTCAGGTGTTAGTCATTATGTTTTTCCAAATTAATAGGAAGGGGCCCCCATCGTAGGAGTTACGAAGCTGCTGTTTTGGTGCGGGGTTCTTCCCCTTTTTTGCCTTTGTCGCACCCACAACACGATGTGCTTATTAGCTCCGTGAAGTACGTTGGTGTATATACTGTGGTGTGTAAGAGATATCTTCAAACATCGAATCGTTCTTGTGGGGATGGGCCATTTCGGTTTGTAAATCGGGACTAAGTAATTCGTCCACGATTTGAAAGATTCCCTCTTACAATCGATAACAATGAATGGTTAGGGTTTGCATCTGCTAGGACCAACCACATCCCTCCATCTTTGAGGCATATCTACATAGGATTTTTGATTAATCATGCTCATATCTCTATCGCACTCCAGATGGGCCACGGATGAGAAAGAAAACCTTCACACAACAAGCAGAACTGTATAATTTTTATTTTGCCCTGCACATGAGTCACAAAAAATTATAAGCGTTCTGACTGCTAGTGGAAGAATTATTAAATGCCGGAGAGATGAATCCTCATCGTTCTTCCTTGGGCGCACAGGAGTCCCATCGTTCTTCCACTGTGCCGCCCATTTTCAAACGCTATTTTTATTGGAATCTAATTGGTTTTCCCTAGCAACATTTGGCGGGTTAATAGTTAATGCCACAAGCCAACAGATGCCGGTGAAATCTCGATTCTGACATATGGACCCTCGTCGTTTTTCCACTGTGACCTTCATATGTATCTACAGCATAGTCCAGGTATATTTTTTATAAAATATTGTAAATTATTTATGTGTGTATCTTCGGATGGCAATTGTACAATGAGGTTTTCTACGTTTAGATACTGACGAAGGGCCGTAAGCCCGAAACGCCAAGAAATAGACAAAATAAATAAAATATTTCAACCACGGATAACTTGGGATTTTTCAACCTTTGGATAACAATAGGGAAATCGGGTTGTTTCTCTCATTTAGTTTAATATTTACTTAAAATTTGTGTCCCGTGCGAATATGGACGTTTCCTGGGCTGTGGTAAGAAGAAGTCTATGAGTTGGGTGCCGGGCACTAAGGTTATTTTCATTTAACCAAGTGCCAAGGAACCCTTCCTATTATAGATTTAAACTCAGTTTCATGGCAACAGTGCTGGTTGTATGTAATAAAGGAAAAAGATTAACCGAAAGCAGACTTAAGGTGTAGCAGAATGGAAGGGCATAATGCTTCTTTTTGTGCAAATGAGATTAATCAGTACAAAAGTAAACAAAGAAAGTAATACAAGCATTATGTACTGTTTATTTTGACAACGATAGCTCCTCATTACCTCTGACTAATGTAGAAAGGATAATGAACTTAATTTTAACCTATATAAATTGAGTGGTGCGTTAAATTTGTAGTACATCATGCTTCATTAAGTTTACAATATTAGATTTGCCAAAATGTATTGCTTATTGTTATATAGTATTTCACATTGTAAAAGGGATGTTTTATAATTTTATCCTTTATGACACTAATGAAGTTATGAGTGGAAGTTCCTCTTACTGTGCGTGGCAACATATTGAAAATTCTTATGGTGAACAAATTCTTACATTTAAATGGTTTTGATTTTTCTTTATAAGGTACAATTAAGTTGATTTGGCTTCTTGTATTCACTGAGGTGACATCACAGACCCTTTTGTAACTTTTTAAATGTTCTCTTAAATAATTGTTAGTATAAACGAACAAACCAGGTATAATCATGGCATTGAATTTACAAAATAGAGGCTTACAGTGTTCTCTGTAGCTCGTATTGTACATTAAGCACAAAGCCTTTGTAACTTTAAAATCTTCATTCTTTCTCATCCTGGAATTTTATGCCATAGCTATTCACACCGTGGAAAAGACCCATGTACAGCATTCTCAAGTTGTTTCTGTTTTCTCGATTCCTCAATTTGTAGATAACAAATGTGACTATGACAACTCAAGTTACTGTTTTTTTTGTTGTTGTTTTTTTTTAAGCCAAGCATTTGTAGTGACATAATCATATATACAGCTTAGATATTAAAACTTGTTTTATCAGCATTTACATATATTTTAAAAAAGGTGGACCTGAGATTGAACCCTGAGGTACACCACATTTAACAGTTCTCTGACTAGAAGTGTTATTGTTAACTTTCACAATTTGTTGTCTATTTACAAGAAATGTTTTATAAACTTCAATAGAAGTACCTCTAAAATAATAATGCTGAAGCTTCTCTAACAGCAAGTCGTGATTTATTGTTATACAACATAATTGCAGTTTCTGGGGAGATATGCAACTTAGACCATCGACACATATACATACATTCTTTGGTGATTGATCAGCCTTCTCAGTTTAAATATACTTTTTTCTTTCCAAAAGGTAGATTGGGGATGAGGCCAGGAAGACAGAAACAACATTTATTTTCTTGTCGAGTTTTCGGCAGAATATATCGCCTTCATGAGGACTTCGAAAAAAATTGTTATATTATATGAACAGGTACATGTGTGGATAACGGATATAAAGTATGGCTCTTACTAGCTATCCGTTATCCACACATGTACCTATTCATATAATATAACGATTTTTTTCAAAGTCCTGATGAAGGCGATATATTCTGCCGAAAGCTCGACAAGAAAATAAATGTTGTTTCTGTCTTCCTGGCCTCATCCCCAATCTACCTTTTGGAAAGAAAAAAGTATACATATACATACAAGTCAGACAAATGGATAAAACATGTAATGTATGTTGAATGCCCGGAAACACAAACTGGGAGAAATAAGGCGAGTTACTGGGGAAAATACACTAACTACAATGGCTAACATTAAAACCACCCATGATATTGAGCTAACTTCTACACAAATACAAGCAGCTATAATAAACTCAACATGAAGCCTGCCCACAAACCACCTACACCAACAAAAAGAAAATCTGCTGGTGGAACGACAACGGATAATACTAGAGAATACAGTAAAACCCTAAGAGAATACAAAATACTAAAGACCCTATAAACCCCATTGGGGAGGGAAAAAAACAGATGGAAAAGACACAAACCAGAAAGGAAACATTAGAAATGCTAATAAGTATAACTTTCCAGTATCAAAAATTATTACCAACCTGGACAAAGAACAATACTGAACCCATCAAAGGCCACAAAGCCAGCAAGGAAGATTGGCAAATTGCCAAAACAGTAATTGCCTAAAAAAAATAATACAATACAAATAGAGGATTCACAGAACAACCAAGAAATAACATTAGGAACCTTCTTGACATTTAAGGAGCATTTGATAACACTCCTTTTGAAGCATTGGTTACTTCACTGAAACAGAGCAGAACTGATAAAACCTGCTGCAGATGGATAGAATCAATACTAAAAAGCAGAAAAGTCCTCCACGAAAAGTTGCAAGCATTGGGGCCCCTCTTAACTATCACCTTACATAGATGGGGAAGGCTGAGACAGAAACATGCCGGCTCTGTCAGGAGGAACCAGGCACATATCCTTTGTGAATGTAAAGCATTAGCCCATTGACGATACAGCCACTTCGGCAGGATATTTTTCATATCTATCAGGAGGCACCAAGGAAAGTGCTCAGTTAAGGAATAGCACACTTTCTAAGGTATGGCGATAAGCTCTAGGGCTTCCACAAAAGACCTGTTGAAGTCACAGTGGAGGAAAGTACAGATGTAAGCAATTCGTCCATAATTTACTTCTAGGCTACATTGTTTCTTGCACTATATTTCAAGCAGAATAATATTTTTTTAATAACACCATACAGAACATTAAGATCAATTTGCAATAATTGTTTTATTTTTTAATCCATAGATAATCATTTGGTTGACGTTGCTACCCTACTTTTTTCTTAATCACCTCCCCTTCAAATTCCAGACAAGACAGTCCGACTTCAGTTGTAATCATAGCGTACGCTTTGAGCACTCCGCCTGCCAGTAGACCCATGCTTGATTCATATTTTTTCAAATTTAACTTGGTTTCATTACCTCCACAAATTTTTCTCTGCAAAAAAACAAATGAAATTATATAGCTGCAGCCCACTTAAACATAGGGAATAAAGAAAAGACTACATAAGGTTTGAAGTAAAAAAGAAGATGTTCTTGCATGGCAGTCTCAGAAAAATTTATTTATTCTGGCAAAAACAAGTTCAGATTTTCTTATTGAAACATAATAGTGCTAGAACAAATGAGAAAAAAGAATACATTATGTCAATACATTATTTTTTGTTTAAATGTCGAAAATTGGAGAATATAAATTTTGAAAAACAGTTTATATGATATAAAGCAATGAATTCCCAATAAAAATAATAACTTTTCACTGTATAAAATCATTTTTGATATTTTATTTTGTAGAGAAAGAAAAGTATTGATACTGTGATTTAAAAAAATTCTGAAAACACCAAAGAAAACTTTTTTGGGGGCAAATTTTTAAACTTCTAATTAATAGCAGAGGTTTAAAATAAACATATACTTACTGCTTTAACTGGACAGGACTGGGAAATGCCGAAAAACGACAGAATTAATTTAATGTCATTACTTGCTTTAGGCAATTGTTGGCATATATCATCATGCCCTTCCTTATTATACAATTTCCCTTTAGATATTTTGTAATGAACCTAAAATAAAATTCAAAGATAAAAATATTCATATAAAATATATTTAATGTAAAATTCACAATTAAACTATAAAGTCTTATTATTTCTCGGCAACTCTGAACATACATACATACATTTACATATACGTATGTAAAGAATTGAGCTTGTGACTTCTTGCAGCTACAAATATCCACTAAATTTTGGGTTTAGACTGTCTGGGGTCAGACGCCGGTTGAAGACTAGGCACTCTCACTGAAGTTACACTGACAAAAACCCCACATAAGATCAGAAAAGCATTAGTGTGTAAAAGAAATTGGTGAACGCATTCAAAATCTCAAAAACATGGGAAAACAACGGTCTGACAATATTGTAGATGTTAGGGCACAAAGCAATTATTCTAGAAAACGAACAAGCAGATAAACTGGAACAGATCTCATAGGCTCAGAATCTATAATTTGGGCAATGAGATCAAACAGACTCCTCCAACTCAGAATGGGTCTACAAAAAACAAGATTCTTATGACTAAAGAACCCTCAGAGCACATAGATTGCTACAGCTAAACAGGGTAAAGCTCAGAAGAGAGGTAGGATGGTCACTGGCACCTACACAACATGGATATATTCAATATTGACCAAATCTGTAGGACGTGCAATGACGAAGAAACAGCCACCTATCTCTTACCATGTGAGGCAACTGCTCAAAATAACCTAGGGTACGAAGAAGACCTGGGAAAAAGAATTGCTGCAATGACAATTATATACTACGTTTTAAAAGAAGGGTTAAATCAATTGAACAGAACTGAGAAACTAGGAAAGTTAAGCCAGAAGCCTGAAGTGCTTGGGAAGTATCAAGCCCTAGCATATTTCTAATTATCATCAAACTCTTACTGATTCTTAGATAGAATCTTACCTATTTACATACCATTCACTCAAGCCGAGTGATGGAATACTCTGCAACATCTATCAGCCATATACTTATAACTATTTTAATTTGGGGGGGGGGTCAATTGAGCACTAATATTCCACCATTCTCTCATCATTCACGCTAATAAATACATTCACTCTAAAGATACACAAAATGATGTATTAAATCCTATATACAATAAAATAACCTTGATTCCTCCAAATATTAGAATAGGAAATAAGAACTTTGCACAAGCAAAATTTTCATATCAGGTGGCATTCCTACACCCTCTCTACAAGCAACTAAGGAATTACCCTTCAATTAATAAACCCTGAATTAATAATCCTTAATCGGATGAGGATGACCCTTCTTCTATGGGTTTAAAATCAGTTGAGTTGAGTTGTAGAAGTGTTTTGAGTTTGAGATAGGTAGAAGTTGTGCAAAACCAAAATTAAGACAAAAACCAAAACCACAAAAATTGAGGGTCAATTGGGCACTGATTATTCTACCATCAGCCTCCTCACACTAAACATTCTCGCTAATAAATACATTCAATATGTTCAATAAAATAGCCTTGATTGCTCCAAAAATTAATAGGGAACATAAACATTGCTCACGGACAATTTTCATATCAGGTGGCATTCTTACATGCTCTCTGTATGAAGTCGAGGAACCCCCCCCCCCAATGCATAGGACACATCAAGCAACCTTTCTTTACATGCTGGTTTGTGAACCTCACATAGCCTATTATTAATAGGTGAGGAGGATCCATCTTCTTCGATTGGGATCCACCGAAGGTCACCTATAAACCATTGATACGTAGCTCATCCGCCAATTCAACACACTATACACTGCCATTTACTTTTAATCATATTTTGTCAGATCCAGATGTTGGTACATGAGTCATTGCATTCGCCTTTTCATTACTTCAGAAATCAGACCTATTGGCTTGTACACTCTTCATTCAAATTTGAAGATTATAAAAAGAGCCTTATAGATTATATAAATTCAGACAAATAAATAGTGAACTGTTTCCACCAACTGATTTATTGATGTCGATGAATTTCAACTCATTAGATTTTTTACTCTAATCTTCAGGTTTTCTTAAGTTTGTTTTACAAACTCAAGAAAACTTGATGATTCTTATAAAAAGTGGAATCTGTCATTGAAGAAAAGAAAATCAACCAAAAAAGGAAGAGGAGTAGTCATTTACAAGATTATATAAACCATTTGAGTATAACGATTTTAAATTAAATTGTAGCTTGATCATACCTGATCATCCTGATCTGTGGAAACACATCTGACAAAGCCAAATTAGAGTGGGGTGATCGAATACGCTAAGTTACAAATTCATTATATCATAGTTTCCAGTATATTGAGTTACAAAAAGTAAACTATTCAAGAATATAGAACAGTTTAGTAAGAATTATAGTTCAATTTACTTTACTTTGTACTTTTTCAAAATATCCTGCTGTGGGTACAAGGTATATACTAATTAAGGTGATCTATGGGGTGAATCATCCTAACCTGTCATTAAATTTACCTTAGTAGTTTTAAATGCCTTTTTGTTTTCCACACAGCCAGTCGCATCAACAAAGCAATCCGAATTGAGTGAGACATTGAAATTTTCCAGCCTGATGTCACTCGCTGATCCACCACAGTTTTGCAATTTGTGCGTTATGAGTTCGTATCCCCCCTTTAATACAAAAAGTTTTGTCAAATGGAACAAGGTAGTTTTTTTAATGATTATCAATCTTACACAAGCCAGAACGTTTTTGGTTGATAAACTAAGAAAACAACCACAGGCGTACAGCAGCAAGTAGCTCGAGCGGGTCATGTCGACTAATGATACAGTCGTATTGTTATTTGCATTTTATACTGGGCCAGATTAAATCAGCCGTTCTAGGCACTATAAAAATCTAATTCCGGTCATTTAATCGTCCTTCTAAATTAAACATCCTTTAACAATGAAAACATTGGATTCATAACATTTTTTTTAACTTTTAGGTCGTTTAAAAACGGAATTTAAAGGCAAACGCACAATTCTTCAAGTCTCACTTTTTTAAAAACTGAAATTCTGGTTCTTCACATTTCGATTTGTTGGTTAAATCTGTTATATTATAATTAACCCCATCGCCATTTTTTAAAGAAAAACATAAGGAAGGACTTGATCCCGCGGTCATAACGTTTATAAAATAATTATGCTTAAAAAACGCAATAATTTTTCCAGAATATATTGAGATTTCCTGAAAGGGTTTGCGAGGGTGGTGGATCTTTTGTTTCCCATCCACCACCTGGCGACGGGACGAAATTTTTTCTCGCTTTTCTCTGTTACGTCATACAATTTTCATATTGCATCCTCGGACGACAGTCCTTCTTGTTCCATATCGCCCACACGAAATCTTATTGCCCATTATAGAGCTGAGCTTTTATACTGGAATGAATTTTTCCAAAATCTTTCCTAGAACAGGTAGGCAGCAAATTGGCTCACCTAGGGGTGATGGATCTGTATTTCGTTTCCGATCATTTTTGGCGTGCGCGTTTCGGTTCGCCATCTTCCTTCCTGTTGACCTTTGGCTGTATGCTAACAAACGAAGGGTCAACGTTTTTCTTGATTCCCTTCAAAGTTGTTACCGTTTGTTAGCCCGGGGCAGTTTCAGTCGACAATTTCAAAGACCGATAAAAGGTACAGAAAGGCTTGGAGTCTCTCGAGACGACCAAATTCAGGTCCCAGAATCACAAGACGACTGTTTTATTCCCCAGAGTTAAAACCCTCCAGTTTCGGTGAGGGTTTTTTAATCACGAGTTTGCACTGTCAATTGCAACGGAAACGTATCATCTCTCTGCTCCGTATAGAGAGCGAGTAGGTGTTGTGGCCTACAATACAATTGTTTTTCTGTCTAACTGTAGCAATGTGTTTGCCACTTTTGTCGAGAGTTCTTTAATCATACGTTTTACTGTTCCTAGCACCTCTGGAGTTCGTCCGCTTCGCCTTAAATTTTGAAATAGAGTCTCTGTCCAGTTTGCCTGCGTTTTCATTCCCCTGTTTGTGTCCTGGCACCAGGATATTGTCAGGTTGTTGTGTGTATCTAATGTTTTGGAGAGTTTGGATGTTAGCTGATGCTTGTAACTTGGCTGTCAGATCTTATGAGGATTTTTCGCCATTGTAAGTACTCTGTACACTCTTCTAGAGATGAAGTTTCGGCCATCAATGACCCTGATCCAGTCAGAGACTAATCCATTCGGCCGTTGCTCTCTTTTTGTGGTAGTTTGAAATTTATAGATGGTTCCTGGTTTTTGATGTTACTCAAACACGTTTCGGCTTTGATCCATCTTCAGTGAGGAACTTATAAGAAAATAACATTTTAATTCCGTTGTAATAACACCGACTGAAGATCGTAATAAATCGAAACTCGTCTGATAGGCCAAAACGATCGGAAATGGCCAACCTATGGGTTCAATGCCTTGCAGCACAAGGGGAAATCTCACAGGGTTGTTTGTTTTGTTAAAATGAAAAAGTTCATGTTTTACGTTTTTAAATGAACTTTTGGAATTATTTACTATCCAAAAATCTGGTCGGATGGACCTGCGACCTTTCCGGAGTCGCTTCAGTTCTGATCATCCCTCCGACGGTGGATCTGACAAGTCTACCGTTGAATTCCGTATTGTCTACAGCGGATCTGCCTGGAGATAGTTTTATCGGTTTTTTGCTGTACGACTAGGAGAAGCCCCAACTGAAATGGCGACATGTAGCCTGGCGGAGATCTTTATTTTAACGAGGAACAACTCCCAGAACAGAAGCATGCATTCTGACATCTAATTCTGACATACATCTTTTTTTACTGATTCAAGGACGACCCTGAAGAAGAAATACTTGATTTAAATTAACCAAACCGTCCTTAACTATAACCTGACTTAACCTAATAGTCGGTATATATCCTAAACCTACTTACCCTAACCGTCCTTTACTAAAACCCTTTTTAATCTTTTGATAAATGATCGTTTATGCGTAAATGTTGAAAAGAAAAGCCGAAAGATACAATTTTCTACAATTTGTGAAAATGTTTACTTCATTGCGGTGTATCGCGTTTCCTATTGGATTTAGAAAAAAAATTCCTCGCAGTAAAATATATTCTACATTCTTCTATCTTCAAGATTAATAATTCCTAAGCTCTAGAACGAGATATTCAAGGGAAAACGAAAACAGACCGAAAACGTTTGTGGTTTTTGCCCAAGGAAAGTTTAAGCGACGCCTTTCAAATTGGATGACTTTTAATATTGGCTTAATTTACAAAAACAAAAACCGACCATTTTTACATAATGACTGGACTGGCAAATTTGAGCCCTCGTCGAGGCGCGTTTCCTGACACGCCATATTCGCCGGACATTGCGCTTATAGATTATGATCTATTCCGGTCAGTGAAAAAATTATTCAATCAAACCGCTTTTATACAGACGAGAGAAATAAAACGTAAATGTACATTAAAATTACTTGTTAAGTAGAAAGTCGTCTATAGTAGGGAGGAGGAAGCTTTTGACATAATTTAAATAATTTGCACGATAACCTGACACGAGTTTAATTAAAAATTTTTGCGTCTCATTCTTCTTACAGTCGTACTGGAAATGGAAACATTTCTGGCTTGCCTACTAACCCTACTTAACATAATCTAACCGTCCTTAAATCGAACCCTACTTAACATAACCTAACCGTCCTTAACGCTAATCCTACTTAACGTAACCTAACCGTCCTTAAATCCAACTCTACTTAACAAAACTGAACCGACCTTAATGCCAACCCTACTTAACATAACCGCCCTTAAATCTAACCCTAATTAGTATAACCTAACCGTCCTTAACGCTACCCCTACTTATTCCTATGTACCGAGGATTAGGAATAGGTGCACCATTTCTCATATGCTGAATGAACTTTGATCCCTAGAAATGACAAAGGTGGGGTGAGTATATTGTTTAACCTTTTTAAAAGATAGTTCTTCCTCTCCGTACTCAATGTAATTTGTAATAATTGTAAGTAAGAACTATTTTTTAAAGAGATAAAACTTTGATCCCAGTTCCAAAGGGATACAATGACTCTCTCGAGTGCGATGAGGAGAATTAGGCGTTGACTTTGAGAATCAAATTGAAATTAAGATGGGCAGTTTGGATGACTCGAGAGTTGCACAATCTTGCTCTTACTTAATCTTCATTGAACCCGATGTCAACGGTGTCAATATAGCCCGGCTATGACGATGATACAACAGTTTAAAAACATCCTCTGAGTTGTGTAAAATTCGCATTTCATTTTTTCTCCAGATACACGGCGGTCATGTCGGGGACAAAAGTCGTGGCGCTTCGGCTTATGTTGACCCATCCTCAATTTTCTCGTTATGCCAACAAGTTGCCCGTACGAACTTGTAAGTTATACTTATTTTCATGGAAGTTAAGTCCCTTTCCGCTAGCCGTTTATTATTTATATTGCATTATCTTTAACATGTGGACTTTCTGTTTGCTGTAATGAAATCAAGGTTATTTCGTCGGTAAACACCGAGCTTCCGCCGAATGTCGTTACGCTTTTTAAAAACCAGGAAGCATACGCATCGACATCCCTTCCTATCCCTCCTTTCTCATGATTGGAAAGATTAATTTTAATTGCTTTTTTTTACTTATTTTCATTTGGTCGATTGACATTTAATTTTGTAATTAATTTTTGTTGATTTTTAATGGCTGATATTATTTGAATTAATCTGTCTATGGTTTTAATACTGTGTATGTTAAACATTGACTGGAAGAAATAACCAACATTTTTACCATAAATACAAATCTATGTGACAAAGATAAAGTGCACATTACTTTGTTCGTTAATTTATTACTATTTTACCAACCAATGGGGGGTTTAGGTGATTTGAGTAACCACGCACTACAAATTTGTACAACTATTTATTTAAACAATACACAATGTACACTGCCCTCAGCGTATATGCAGATGGTTCCAGGGACGTCAGGAGTGTTGGTGCTACAAGTATCTGTGGAAAAAATATTTATTTTCACTAAATCCCCTGGTAAGCAACTATCTCATTGAGACGTGTTGAGCAGGAAGTGAAAAGTGTATTTTTCTCTGGATTTCTGGTCATTCGAGTGTCCCTGGAAATGGGAAAGCAGATATGGCTGCCAAGGAGGAAGATGGAGTTGGAAACCTTGTTGTGGAGGTAAGCCAGGATGACATTGCGGCCTTTAGAGAGAAAATAGTTACAATGGCAATAAACCACCTACCACACAGGCATGGCTTTCATCCTTTAGGTTGAAGAGAAGCGAGGAGGTTGAGAATAGGACACTGCTGGACCATCAAGGGTCACTTAATGGCCCACGACTCTCTGCATGTATGCAGAGCATGCAATGAAATAATAACAACAAAACATATTTTACTATCATGTCGCATATATCATGACTTAAGAAAATTTTATTCTCTTGAATAGGCTGTTTGAAATATTAGGGGACAACCAAGAAAAAATTGCCAAATTTTTCAGTTTTTTGACAGCAGCAAATTTAATAGATAAAATGTGATCTACCATACTGATAACAAGAATTAAATAAATAAATAAAAAGTAAATAAGATAACTGGCAAGTCGGCCCGGCTGGATTGGAGCCCTAGGCCAAAGTTTGGGGCGAAAATGACCAAAAAAACAATACACAAGAAAAAACGTGCTCTCTTATTGGACTCAACTTAGCAAGTCTTGCCATGTGCTCTTGAAGTATTGTTGCTCACAAACCATTTATTGGATAAATAAGCAATATTTTGTGAGATGTCTCCATGTTACTGATCATTTTGGTCTGCCTATCCTCGCTGGGTGGGTCTT